GTCTCTCTTGGTACCTGAGCCAGACATTTATTTTTCTGGAAACAAGTTTCATTAAAAGAGATGGGGATTAAAGAGGTGGGAAAACGGCCCTGGGGTGGAGTCACAGTGGGAGAAGCATTCCTAATTCCTTGGGTCTTAGGAGGAACATGGGTACAGACCACAACAGATAGGAAGCGAAGGGGGAGCTTGCATCATTTTGCAACATTGACAGAGAAGCAGGCCTTTCCTCTATTCCCTAACACCTCTCCAATGGGGACATGGCCATATGAATTCTCTTGCCAACATCCAGGATACTCAGCCAGGGTGACCCTATAGGAACCTGGAAGCTAAGTGACCTATGAGAACAAGGAAGAGTTAATACATTATAAGCCGGAACACAGATTCCAGGGATTTACTATCATAATTTTACATTCATTTGTGCTTGTATTTATTGACTAGAGGCCTGGTGCATGAAAATTGTGCACTAAAGGGGTCCTTCAGCCCAGCCTGCACCCTCTCGCAGTCCGGGAGCCCTTGGGGGATGTCCAACTGCCAGAGGCGGGAGAGGCTTCCGCTACCGCCGCTGCACCTGCCAGCCTTGAGCCTGGCTTCTGGCTGAGCAGCGCTCCCCCTGTGGGAGCGCACTGACCACCAGGGGGCAGCTCCTGCATTGAGCATCTGCCCCCTGGTGGTCAGTGAGCATCATAGTGACCCGTCGTTCTGCTGTTCTTTCAATTTGCATATTAGCCTTTTATTATATAGGATGTTATTAAAATTTTAGCTGAATACTTATTGCTATACTATTATAGATGTCTAAGCTGTGTTGAGGAACCAGCACCTAATCTCCACTGTGGTGAGTGAGACACAAGGTATTATTTTTGATGACTAAGGATGAAAAAGGACTTCCCCATTTTTCATTGCATTGACAATCCCCTGACCGTGTCCACAGGATATGAAACTGTCCTCCAGGGCCTGGGCAGCCTCAGCCCAAATCTAATGAAGCTTCTGGCCTGGATGACAGAGCCGCTGGGAGGCCAGTGACTAAGTCCATGCAAACACTCCAGGAGGATGTTTATCTCCATCTAGTCCAGGGATTCTCAGCCTGTCCTGCAAACCTCAGCCTACCTGTGTAAGCCTTTGGACTGACCTAGCTGTGGGTTTCATCCCTGGTTGTGGTGCATACAGGAGGCAATTGAGTGATGTTTCTTCTCACATTGATGTTTCTCTCTCTCTCTCCCTCCCTCCCTTCCTCTTTCCTTTCCTCCCTCTCTTTCTAAATATCAATAACATATCCTCATGTGAGGATTAAAAAGTAATAATCAGGTTCTAATACATTGGCCAATTTCCAAAGCTCTTTAATGATAAGACTTGTGCTAACACTTATCGGGGTCCCAGGATGCACCGGTGTCTGTGCTAGGTACGTGCACAGATATCTGCTAACTTACACTCGCCATCAGGGTGTGTACAGGTGTTATCTCCATCTTGCAGAGAAGTGGAGGCTCAAAGCAGTTCAGGAATACCCTTACGGTGGACAGAATGTGAAACCGTTCATTCATGTCGCTCATTCCGAGTGTCTATTATATTCCAGGCCCTAAATCGGGCCTGTCCTTGAAGGCCATTATTTTGCTTCCACCATCTGAACTCCTTCTGCCAGTGCAGTCTAGCTTCCAGAAAGGAGGCGAGGAGGGATGTGAAAAGGGAAAGTAGACCTCAGGATGTGAGAGACAAACACCCAGGTCCATCCCAGCCCTTCCGCACTGCTGCCTCCATGGTGCCCAGACCCTCACCTCTGTGACCCAGGCTGGTGTTTTTTCCACCAACATCTCCCTTGAAAGGATAACAAAAGTGTTTTCACTGGTGCTGTTGTCATGTGATCAAAGCATAGCTCAGGAAATGGGGTCCCTCGAAAGCTGTTTATCTAAAATCTCCTATTTCACCGGTTGGCACATTTTAAGAGAACATTCTGCACCTTCTCTCCCAAGGGCAAATATTTCAGTTACCTGTGTCCTGAGAGCCAGGCTGAGGCCACACATACTCTGCTCAGGAAAAGAAAACATCAGAGCAGTTTCCTTCGTGCTCGCATGCACTGCCCCCACCCCCATCTCTGCTCAGAAATCCCGAGAGAGTCTCTCACAGGAAGCTGGAGTGGGTCAGGCAGCGAAGAAGTAAAGACAAAAAGTTATAAAACCAGACTTAGGTGGGAGTGTTTTTTTATTAGTGATAAAAAACAGTCCCTTTTTCTGGGTTATTCAGATGAGCTCCGAGTATATATTTACCTTTTCAGCTAATGGGTCTGTTCAGGGAGTCCAGGGCTCCCAGACAGCCCAGCTGATGGATCACTTTTTGCTTCCCCCCGTCCCAGGGTAGGCCTGGGCGAAATTATTTGGCATGGGGAGCCTGTTTCCTGTGGCATGTATGAGGAAAAACATTGGTCTTAGTGCCAGAGCGATGGGTGTGAGGGACCTCCCAGCTCTAGCCCTCTGAAATGATTTAATAGTCATATCGTCAGTGTTCCCGGAGAAAGACGGATGCTGGGGTCTGTAGCCCTCCCCTCCCCTGAGGTCTGAATGGAGTACTTTGTTCTTTGGTGGTTTCAGGGAGGGCTATGTTCACACCACCCACATCCCTAACACACACAAAGCACACACAAACACACACGTAAAATTCACATAGATGAGTAAATGAAACAAATACATATGGACACACTACACTGACACTTTTGAGGGTGGAGGCCAGCCCTTATTCATATTTGTGTTCTCACATTGCCTAGCAATGCCTGGCATCGAGCAGATGATTAATACATACTTTTTGGATGAATACATGCATAATTATCACTGGAACCATTTATTTAGCACTTAATAGGTGCCAGGTGTTGAAGGAAAACTTCAACATGCTCTGATTTAACCCTTGCAGCAGACTATGACATCTGGCACGGTCCCTCTCCCCATTTCACAGAGAGGAGAAGTGAGGCTTAGACAGGCCAAGTGGTTTGTCCAAGGTTACACAGCTGCTCCGTGCTAGCAAGAGACATCTGACCCCAGAGTCTATGCTCCTAACATATTCCTCTACAAACTCATGCACCCAAAGTATAAGTCAGAAACACGTCTATAAATGTCTTATATCAACAACAGCCGTTCCATCACCAGGGTGGCGAAAATCAACCTGGAGGCCTTAGCTGTGCTGTGTCTCTGTCTCAGACATTTCTTCCTTGTCCTTCCTCCCTGTCCCCAGTTGTCAGAAACTCAGGGGAGGCATCCGTTTCAGAGTGAAGGCTCTGCATTTCAGATGGTGGGGAATGAACCTTGGATTTAGCTGCCTTCCAGCAGCACAAATATTTTCCCGAAGAGTAAACTGGCAAGTTCCTGACTGTCCACTTTCTCACACTGCCAGAACAAATGGTCACAGACCTAGCATTTTAACACAATGCTCATTCATTATCCTGCAGTCTTGTAGGTCAGGAGTTCTGGGCAGGTGGAGTTGGGCTCTACCCAGGGTATCACAAAGCTAAAATGAAGGTCTGGGCCAGCTGGACTCTTTTCTGAAGACTTTGGGAGACAGAACTCACTTTCAGGCTCATTCAGGTGTTGGCAGAATTCAGTTCCTTGCAGGTGTGGGATGGAGGTCCCGCTTCCTTGCTGGCTTTCAGCCAGGAACTGTTGTTTGCTCTTAGAAGCTGCCCACATTCCTTCTCATGTGGCCCCTTCCACCTTCAAACAGGCCAGAGCGTGTCAGTTCCTTTTCATGCTGGGAATCCTTCTGACTTTCTCTTCTGCAACCTGCTAAAGAAGCCTCCTTCCTTTAAGGCAGTGGTGGGGAGCTTTTTTTTTTTTTTTTTGGTCAAGCGCCATTTGAATATTTATAACATCATTTGCAGGCCATACAAAATTATCAACTTAAAAATTAGCCTGCTATATTTGGTCAAACATTTAATTAACTCACCCTAGTGACTTGGCAGAGCCCGGCCAAATGATTTCTGTGGTCTTATATGGCCTGTGGGCCGGATGTTCCCCACCCCTGCTTTAAAGGCTCATGTGATTAGATTGGAACCACCTAGATAACCTCCCTTGAAGGTTAACACCATTACTGGAGGATTAGGGATGGGATCTTGGGGGCCATTCCTAGAAATTCTCCTTGCCATACTTTCCTGGATTGTAACTGAGGGCAAAGATAGGAGAAAGGTTGATATGGTAGGCAAAGAGCACACTTAGGTAACGGGCAAAGCAGAAGGAAGGAATTGCATCATTTCTTCAAAAACAAGTCAAAGCACATCAGGGCAGAGCCAAGGATTTAAAAGGTGGCACTTAGTAGGCTCTTGATAATGTGACTCTGAGCACCTGCTGTTCAAATGAACCACAAAGCTGCAAAGAAGGAAACCACACCTTCCTTGGTTACATAAGGATGATTCACACCTGTGGACTCCTTTCTGGGTTCCAGGCACTGTTCCAAGAGCTTTACTTGTATTCATTCATTCTATCTTCAGATAAGTGTGTGATATTAGGGTATTATTATCCCCATTTTACAGATGAAGAACAACTAGATTAAGGAAATCGCTAAACATTGTGCAGCTGGTGAATGTGATAGACAGGCTGTGAGAGCAGACAACCCAGCTCCTGAGACGGTTTTTAACCATTGCACTGGACATACCTGGTGTGGTAGCCGTTTCGAGCACCAATCATGGGAGAAAGGACTAAGCAAAAACTGGAACATCAAATAGGGGACTGCGGCTCTGTGACGTGGGCTAAGGCCACTAGATGTCAGAGTGGTATGATGGGGAGAGCCTGGGGTTTGGTGTTAGAAGAGCTGGTGTCATGTTGCAGCCACGAAAGTCTTGAAGGTTGTGACCTTGGGCAAGTCATTTCAATTCTCTGAGCCTCTGTCCCCTCATTTACAAAATGGGGAAAGAAACATCTCAGTCATTATAGGAGTGTCATGTGGTTCACTGGTGTGCAAACATCATGTTAATGTGTTTTGTACATCGAAGACAGTGTTTTTATCTGATATTTGTTTGCTGTTTCTTCCAGACCCCAGGGGTGATGTGCTGCTAAGATGAATAGCCTTCTAAGGTAAGAACATTTTTTTATATCTTTAGGCCTCGGTTCTTGCTCACCCATAAGTTTCATGTTAATTCTTAAAGAACTACCATTCATTCCAACTTTTTCTTTAGTTTGCCTTTGTCTGTATTTCCCTTCACACGTGAAGCGGCTGCTAGGAGTCGATGACCTTGAGGAATTCCACTGCAGATTAGTAGAGGGCATTTTCATTTCAATATATGGAGATTTGTGATAGGAATTGGTTCAAACCATTACGGAGACCAGGAAGTCCCACGACCTGCTACCTGCAGGCTGCAGGCCGAGGACATTCCCAGTCCACAGCCCTGACAACCAAGGGAGCCAGGAGGGCCAGGAAAGGCTGAAGGAAGTCACTGGGGCTCTTCGTTTTCTCTGTAGATGAATAGAAGGTACAGTCAACTGATGAACTGGAGAACTCAAGGAGAAAGGTGATGGTTAGAAACAGAAGCGTTGGGAAAAAGAAAGGAAGCTGAGTAGACACGACAGTGGGGAAAAGCATGTAGTGAGAATAGAGCCACAGTTGCCTAATAATTATTCACCTTACTAACTATAGATAAGAGGTTTTCTTCCCCTGGGAAACGAAGATGAAACAAGACAGTAATAAGATAAGATGCTAAGATGCCTTGATGGGTCCTTTATTCAGAAAAGAAATACATTTTGAGAACAGACCAAGGACAGGACACGCTTTGTTTTGGTTGATGTGCCCAGACCCTGACCCTCTCTGGGAGTTTTCTCAGGAACACTGACCATTCTCTGGTCCCAGGAATGGGCTGAGCTGTTTGTAGCATCATAGATTAGCCATCTTGTTATCAGACATTGAGCTCCTGAAGGCTGGACTGCAGACTCTACCCTCCCTTTTCCATGTTACACTTGCAGCTCCCAGGTGCACATAGCTATCTTCTTCCTCATGTGTAAATAACCAGCCAGCTAGCAAGGGGGGTCAGAGCAGATTTTCATGGATGACCTGCTGCTCTCTCCTACTGCTGGCAGTATTGGAACAAACGCTCATATATGATTCAACCCTGTCTCTGTTTAATTGGCTCAAGTAGTGACAGGTAGCCCAAACCTCTTGGTTGTCCGGTTACAGACACATGTTCAAAAAACATTTAGAGACTGGCAAAGATTGAAAATCATAAATTTGTTAAATTAGCATGATTGCATGAGTTTCATCCAGTAGGTTGGAGTAGGGGCGCAGAAGCAACAAATCCCCAGTGTTTGCTTGAGGTTCAGAAAGAAACAAATATTTATTAAACAGCTACAGTTCATCCATCTATTTTTACAAAAATGTCTATTGAATACCTGCTATGTTCCAGACACTGTTCTAGGAATTGTGGATGGGACACTAAGACAGACTAATCTTTCCTGTGGCAAGAAACAGAATTGTAAAGAGGCATCTGAAAATTACAAATTGAGATTTATGTCATCAACTCTATGGTATATGTATATATTAACATCTAGATATGTGCATATATGTAGATACTGATGTTTACATGCATATATGTCTGTATTGATATATATGTGTGTATCTCTAGAAACACATTGAATTATCATACTGGCTTGTGAACCAGTGTTCACTCATTTTATTAATGAGGCTCAGAGAGGTTAAAGATCTATCTCAGTCACACACATAACAGTCAGAGTCAAGATTTGAACCCAGGTGCTATAATCCCGGCCAGAGCTCTTTCTGTGGTTTCCATCTATACTACTGAGCTCCTTGGCAGGGCGGAGAGGTGGGAGGTGAGAGGGAAAGGGATAGGTTGGTGTCGATGAGAGTGGACCAGAAATGACCAACCGAAAGGGAAAGGAGATCATGAAGCCAGAAAAGGGAGGGAGTTCTTGACTTGGAAAACAGGGAAAGGGGGTCAAGGGTCTGCAATTTTCCTGGAGGATGGGCAGGATGTTGCCAGAAGGAGGGCGATGCGGGTGACGCGGGTAGCTGTGGTCTGGTCCAGTGTTCTCCTGGAAAAGTGTGGCTTGGCATCCTCTTGTGAGCTTCTACTTTAAGATGGTGTTGGTCTTTCCTTGACGAGGCTATTGTCTTATTCCTGCTAAGTTTTGGTGCCCATCACAGAGGAGCACGCACTAGGGCCTCCATACATTGTGAACTAAATGGGTTAATTCAGATATTTATAATGCACCTCGCTAAGGGTGAGTGCTCTAGACTATGGCAAGAGTTCCATTGTCATTGTTATTGCTATTGTTGTTGCTTTTTCCCTGCAAGTAAGCTTATGACTTAAAAAAAACCAAAGCAAGTCCTATATTTATTTGCAGGGAGGGCCTCTGGTGGTTTATTTACCTGTGGAGGAGGCAATTTCCTAGGCTCTAAGGCATATACAATTAGAGAAAAGAAAATCCCTTTGTTGATAATAAAACTCTTGATGAGGCATTTGATGAATACACTGGAGATCCTTTAATGAGCCCAAACCGCAGCCTCCTCAGTTTTGCTTCCTCTGACTTCAAGGAAGAGCAGTCTTGTCTCTTTTTTCCTCAAAGATCTTCATGCTAACATTCCAACTCACTCAGCATCACCTGAGTCAGCACATCATTGCAAATGACAGTCTAGTTCAGTGAACAAGCAAAATGGTTTATTTATAAGCCTCTTTCCCAACTGGGATCCTGGGAAAACTGCTGTCCTCAGAAGTAAATAAAGGTCAGGATGCCTTACTATATGCTCAGTGCAAAGTCTAGCGATGGTTGCTTCATGATGGGTGATACTGCAAACTCTGAATTATTCCTGGACATGTTGGCATAAAATTCTAGGGGAGACTGTGCCATGTTGACCCCCTTCACTCAGCAATTTTTGTATCTGCTGCCCCAATTGTAGGTGACACTCTTACATGGACTGTTATAATGGCTTCTTATCTGGTTTCTGTCTTCAAGTTCTCTGCCCACCCCCACTCCCTCTGTTCACCCAAGAAAGATCTATATTCCTTAATCAATTCCTACCACATCAGCACCTCTCCATAAAGCTTAGAGCATCCAATTAAAACCTATCCATTACTGTTTGCCATGTGGTGGACAATGTACATCATCATTTTGGTCTGTTTGCATTTTATACTTCAGTACTTAGAACTTTTGAAATCTATATAACTGGCACAAAAATGTCATTAGGAACATAGGTTGAATAAAGAAATTATATCCTTTTATCTTCAATATCACTTCATCAGGTATTATTTACCTGTTTCAGGAACTTGAAGTTAATAATGGTTCAGTAAATTGCCAAGATTATAGGAAAGAACCCAGGTTTAAAACCCAAACCTAGCTGATTTCAGAGCTCACTTGTTAAACTAAGATTCAATGCTGGCTCAAAATGACATGTAAGCAACTTCTCTACATAACTTGACAATAAGTTCAGCCCTTCATCTGCTCAAAATTTCCAGAATTATCAACTGGCTATTATCAACATGCCTCACATGTTGGTCCTCACTTTATTAAAATCCTACTTATCCTTCAAGTCCCATTCATCCCCCACCTCCTTTCAAAAACCAATGCAGATGGTCTCTATGGTAGATTCCCCTTTAAATTCCTGCCACAGACTCACCCAAGACTTATATGACTTATACTTCAATGCTAATTATTAGCATGCTAAGTGGATCACTTGTAAAGGAGTGAGAGTTTTGAATTTTACTTTCCCCAAAGGGTCTGATAAAGTACTGGGCACCAGAAAGGGTCTTAGCAAATGCTCTATTTAATATTAAATTTGATATCAACCCTGTCAAATCCAAGTTTCTCCCATCACAGTAGTGAAAGGCTATTTACCAGAAAATACTTTCTCCAGTTGGAGAAAATGTCACACGCCAGAGAGCAGGTTGGCCCAGACCCAAGGAGCAAGGTTCCTCATTGTCTAGATGGAGACTGAGAAAACGAGTTTTTTTTCTTATGAATCTGGGCCTTACTCCCAGGCTCCCCTCATTTCTGAAATCATGCTTCCAGGAGCACAAAGTGTACACATGCCTCCCTGATCCCCAACACACACATGCACTTGCCCATTCCATGGAACTTCACTACACCCAGCCTCTGGAGCCAGAATCTGAACGTGGGGGTGACATGGAGAACCACAGAAGTTCAGCTTCCAGAATGGGTTCTGTGCCGCTGGAAAACAAGGCTGGAGAGCCTTTCTTCCAAGAGAGAGGACAGGGATATTTTTGGTGCATTGATTGGAAATTATCAAATAGAATCCTAAATGCCGAGGCCTGAAAACCCATCTCATCTCCACGATTCTTTCCTTCCTGTTCAAGGCTGGCAGAATTGAAAGCTGGGATAACACCAAGGTATTTTTAGCAGTCTATATTGATTTTTTTTGTCCTTGGAAGCTACTGTTTTCGATTATAACCCCCAAAACAACAAATGAAAAAAGCCAGCTGCGGCAAAATCTCATTTAAGGCAGCAGCATAATGATCATGATATTACAATAATCATATGTTGGGCAGTATCTGAAGTTGCAATGCTTGGATCTTCTGGCATAAAGACTCTCTCTGGAATGCTTTGCTGCCTGCATAATGCCTCTGACTGAGTGTCCTGTAACAAAACTATTAGGTCAATAGACATTTTAAGATGCGGCGCACTTACCTGCTGGCAAAGCATCAGCAGCACAAGAGAGGGCTAGTCAATATCAATAACTGCCATTGGTTAAACAGTAGGAAAAAGCTGAAAATATGGACACTCGTTAGAATTCTTTTTTACTATCTAGATGTTCTAGCTGTCAATCACATCGCCATCCATGGACTGAAGTGACTGGCCTTAAACCTTTGCTGCCCTGGACCTGTGGAATACCAGGGACCAGACTAGCTAGATTTTATGACTTTGTTTGTTCTAGTAAAATACTGAGCCTGACAACCTGTTGTCTTTTTCTCATAGATACATCAGCCAGCAAAGCTCTATTTGTGTCCCTGCCTAAAACACCGTAACATCCTGTCCCTGGCTTTTCATTTACTGTCTTTTTGTGTAGGTGGAAATATTTTCTTCTCCTCCTAGAGTTTCTGCCTGGGTCCATA